GGGATTCGGACGCACGACCTGTTATAATTTTTCTATTTTATTATTAAAAACCTCTTGTCATGATAGCTCAAGTGGTTAGAGCAAAAAAAAAATCATTTATGTTAGATGGTTTCCAAAATTACTTATTTTAATTAATTATTATTTTTTTATGTAAGGTCTTGGTTGTGATGAAAAAGTTAGTGTCACGAGCGGGATTCGAACCTACGACCTGTTATAATTATTCTGTTTTATGTGTGGTGGTTAGTGACCGTTAATCGATAATTATTCAGAAATCGTGAGATGCGGTCTGATGTGATGTAGGATTCAGAAAAGCATTTTTTTTATCGTGCCAACGTTTCGATCTTTATTGAGATCATCTTCAGGGCCTGGGATTTACAAACATTGTTTACATTTACCAAATATAACAACAATTTAAAAAATATATTTTGCGTTGTATAAATTCACTTTTTCCACATCCTTCATGTATTTGTTAAATGTAAACAATGTTTGTAAATCCCAAATCTCAAAGTATTTGTCTTCTGTGTAATTGTGCCATTCTTGCGCGTCGTGTTGGGCACTCTCGACACGACACGCAAGAATGGCACAATTACACAGAAGACAAACACTGAGCCCTGAAGATGATCTTAATAAAGATCGAAACGTTGGCACGATAAAGAAAATGTTTTTCTGAAACCTACATCACACCAGACCACATCTTACGATTTCTGAATAACTATTCTGTTTTATTATTAATACCTGTTGCCGCGATAGCTCAAGTGGTTAGAACAAACTAAAAAATAATAGACCAAAAAAAAAAAATAATCCATTTATTATTATGGTGGTCTAACTGCCCAAATTACTTATTTTAATTAATTATTCTTTTTTTATGTAAGCTTTTAGAAGCTAGAAAATTGTGATTAAGGTTTTTTTAAGTAAATTTTTCGCTGTCTTGTAAAAGATGGCAGTAGCTGAAACACCTGTACCGATCCACAGGAAACATTACTTAGTGTTAGTACCCATAATATACACTTAACCTCACAAACCTAATCGTTGTAGACGTAGACGTAGATGCATTACTCCGGTCTAATATACTGCGCCGTTTAATGCAAGTTTCTTTGAATACATACTGAAAAAACCTGACCCATTCTTAACCCATTCTTCATCAAGATTGATTTGAGGCTGTTCAACGGAGGCGGTGAACGATGTCTATCTAATTCGTCTCTTTAACATGCTCCATAAGTGTTCTATGGGATTCACGCTAGGAAAACGTGCTGGTCAATTCATTGTGGTAATCACATATGGCCGACATTATCATACGCTAACACGAAATTGTACCCAATAAATTGAATAAATGGGACCACAGTTTCCAGAACTTAGTGCAGTGATCCATTCTGTATGATAATCAGTCTGGTAAGGGCATGGACGTTATTCATTCCGTACCATAACTAACTTTGGCTCAGACATGACATATGAGATGCTTATTTGCAAATAGCGCCTTTCAACTCGATGCCTTTCCAGTAGTAGAGAACCTGATGCGGTACTTTTAGAAACTAGGCTATTTTCACGAAGCCTACTTATGTTTTACAGCTCACCCTTGCATTACGGACCGTTTGTACTTGATTACTTATGAAGGAAACTATTAAATGGCGGTTCCGTAGTGCATTAATAGCAATAAAACGATCGTCTCTAACCGTCGTCTATCGCCACTACCTTCTCTTCCATCGAGACTTTCGGTGACCCCAAATCGTTGTAGACCATCGCGGATGATCTACAGTGTAGCACTGACTTGTCTACGCAAAGCTTTGCCCCCGAGTGAGATCTTCTCGACTTAAAACCATACTTTTACGAAAACTTTACACCGATTTATTGATTTATCAAGGGTAAAAAAGAAAAAAATTTTAATAAAAAAAAATTTATTAATGTTGTGTTTATGTTTTATGTCCAACATTAATGTAAATGCCTGGTTGTTATGGAAAATAAACAAATAAATACAAGTGTCCGGTTTTTTGTCTTTGGGTGTGTTTTCAATTTTATCTGACGTTTCGTGTGCAATTTGTTTAACGGATTTTTTCTTAATACTCAGGCGATATTTTTGTATTAAGTCAGGGCTGATTTGTGGGAATGGACGGTTTGAACCATTGGGACGGTGAGTAAGAAACAAAATAGTGTTCCAACGTTAATAATTAGATTATGAAAGGCTTATAGCTTTGTCAATAAGTAATCTTTTTTTAGAGACAATTCCACCCGATAGAATAAGAACTACGCCTCCTGAGGTCAATTCGCGTAATGGATCAACTTTTCTTTCAATGAAAAAAGGACGGACGGAGCTATTATATTTCCTTCCATTACTCGGATTGCAGTCTAACATTTCTCATTAATAATAAAAATTGTAATTAAGAGCCGGGGATTTTTTTAAAGGGCGAATTAGCATGAATTATAATGGCCTCAGAGGTGTCATTTGTCAGGACGGTTAGAGATAAAACACGTACGAGGGTGCGAGGGCGTAAGGTTATCGTTGGAAGGTTTGTGTGCTTCGTGCACATTCTTCTTTTCTTTATTTTTATTTTCTTCTTAAGGTAGTAAATGTGTGCGTTAAAAATGAAAGATTGTTTTAATTATCCAATTATCTGGGTCCCAGGTCTCCTTATTATGTATAAATGTATTATGTCTTGAGTAGCAACAAGTCATTTCGGATTTGGTGTATAACCTTAGCGGCCCGGTCAGAAAAGTCGGCTCCTGGTCACAAATCCAGCGCAGAAAGTCTCACCATATGACTTGTTTCAAAGCTTCAGGATCAGTTGTAGTTGCGAAGGCCAAAAACCTCGATCTTTTAAAGGCACTGAAAACCTCCCTTGCGATTATTATAACCATCCATTTAGGTGAATCATGCTATTTTCAAATCAAGGTATAAAGATAAGTTCGTATCATCATTGCGTCAACAGTTGAAAGAGAAATGACTTTCTCTTAGGATCAAAATCGGATAAAGGCACAAGAGTTAGAGCCCCGGAAGGAATTTTAAGACCGAACTGACTTTAAACTTACGTACTCTTCCGGACAAAAATCTTGGCAATTGAACACTGCGCCAGAGAAATAAAAAAGGCTAGGAATACATTCCAAGAAGGTATATATTTTCGATGACAGTCATGTGAGGTGAAGGCAAAAAGCGAATGCAATTGTATGGAAGTCTTGGCAGAAGTCAGTGACTCCAATGACCTCACCCTGGGCATTCACACTTAGAGGTAATGAGAAAGTGGACATATTGGAAAAAAAAGGAGCCAATATGAATTCACCTTGCCACATAAAAGGACACGTTCAAAAACTTATCATTAACGAGCCCAAAATATTGAACAATACCCTAGGCGCGAGGCACGAGAAGAGATTCATAGAACGCCCATCGGTAAGACTTACAAAGGAATTACTGGTAGGCAACCGCAAAAGTAAAAGGATTCTGGTTGGACGGGGCACTATCACCTAAGAAGGCACATGCACTTGATAGGAGTACAGACAGAAGAAATTCTGTGCCGATACTGCCAGGAAGAAGGGGAAACCGCAGAACATATTTTAAGTTTTTGTAGGGTCCTTTTAGTATAGATACTTGCAACAGGAGAGAAAAAGCAAGATCCTAGACTAAGGAGAACCTGGCAAGGCTATGGAGGTTGATTAACAACCTGAAGTTGGCCCGTTAGTTGTAAAAGTGGAAGAGCACAATAGATCTACTCAGGTCGAGGCGCAGAAGGCCTTGTGGCCACCTCTTTTATCCCTATCCGTATCCCTCTCAGAGCAGTTGTATTGCTTGATGAAGATGGTCATATTTTTGTTCATTGCCTTCCGGCAAACGTATCGTAGTTAATCCAGCCAATGGTTCAAGGGGTTATTTCGAGATAGGTATGAAACTAAATTCCTTCGATTCTTACTCGAAGAAAACAGTAATACCGAGTCAATTAAAGAAATCCTGTCATATAAAAAAAAGCTATTTTTGCGTTGTGTGAGACTTGGGCAAATTTACCGTCGACTACTTTAAAACCTTCATGGGGGAGAACATCAGACCGCTAAGATTTAACGCAGCAAGCCGAAAAAGAAGAAGATGAAACTGACGTTTGTCTCGACACACTATCAATTGGGAGGTTAGCCGGGAAAATTCAAAAGTTATTTTGGTTTTACTTAATTTTTATTAGTCTTGCCATTTACTGTACATAAAGAAAGAGATGCCGACTTCCAATCAAGTCAAATACTTAGGACTATACCTAGACAGCAGACTGACGGACCTAATGTCCATACAAGACTTAAGAAGCAGACTTGGACAGCTACGAAGACTTCAAGGACCGAAATCTGTCTTGACCGTCAAAACGAACTTTGTACAAAACTTTACTGCGAACATTTTGGAAGGTGGAACAGTGTTCTGCCAAGCCCTCCAACATCCTCGTAATCAAAAGTCTTCAGGAGAATCGACAAATCTCTTTACTAAGTCCTGACCTCACTGTCCATAACGACTTTGTCAACAAACTAATTCGTCCCGATTCCGACAGTTTCACACCACCTCTCGAGCCATCCTATTTCTAATGGTCGAGCTTTCTCTGCACTTTACCATTCTGAGAACCTGCCTTAATTGATGACATCGAGATCTCCTAGCCCCCTCAACTGACCAGCATCGGCTGGTTTCTTATGACATATGTCCTCCGGGTGCATCGCTGGCATTGGTGTTAGTATTGTGACCATGTGAAAAAACGTACTGTGATCACATTAGTAATATATACAAAGATATAAGGTACAAATTAAAAAAAAAATTAAAAACCACATTTTTTTAAATTCTGAAGACAGATAAACACACGTCTTGGTATATCAATTTTTACAGTATAATGCCAATTTAGTATGGATTTGCACCCAAGACGAATTGAATTTACCGAAGACTGTTAAAGATCAATTATAATTTGGTCGTTTACTTCATTTAAATGGATCAATTTTAACTCACGTCACTCAAAAAATACTTTTCATCGTGAACAGACCGGTAATTCATGTGATCCATCATTGAAAGAATGAATTCCTTTTATCGCGGTCATGAAGCGCTATTCCGAACAAAAAGAAAATATCGATAAGACCTAACTCAATTTGCTTTATTTACGTTGGAAAGGATAAAAAAAAGCCATCCCGTCCATTCTTGTGTTTGCACCGACCTTCATATCCCAAAGATAAACCTTTTCACCCCTTCAAAGCAGTACAAATATTAACTTACATGCTTAATATTAAAATAAATTATCACATTGTTTTATTTTTAACAAAATGTTTTTATGTTTTTTGTTTCAGTGAAAGAGGATGCTTTCTGTTGTTCTGTTACTAACTGTGGGCGTGCAGGTCGCCCTCGGCTGGGGTGGACTTTTCAACCGTTTCAGCCCTGAAATGCTCTCGAACCTTGGCTACGGTGGACACGGATCTTCTTCCTATAGAGTGCAACCGTTCTTACAAGTAAGAATTTGATGATAATTTTATTTAGAAACTTTCGTGAATTTTCAACGTGTCTATTATCCGAAAATATTTTTTCTTGAAAGTAGACTACCAGAAATTTTCATCCTTCTCATTTTCCTGTAAGAAGGTTTTCGAAATAAGATGGCCTTTCATTGCAGACAGGTGAGACAGTTGGTACTGACAAATTGAAAATTGTTGGATTTATCCAATGTCCGTAAACCGGTTCAAGCAGAATTACCTAAATTTAATACATAACCTTATAGCGTAGAGCTTCGGAGATTTGGCTTAAAATATTAAGTCCTTAAAGCGCCCAGTAATACAGCTCTAGGGTCGTGCTTTGGGAATGATGATTTTTAAGGGCGCTAAATTGTAAGAGCTAGCAATTAACACGCATTTCCCCAAACCCCAGTTGAAGGGAAAGTTTTAATTAAATGTCACGCCTATCTAGAATTTACGTATTAACCCTGTAAGAGAAACTTTTGCACGGGTCGACCATCATCCATGACCGAATCAAGTTTTGCCCAGAGTCGAACATTTCCCTGTTATGTTTTCAACGATTTGTATTAATTGAACACGTATAATTTAGATTTTATTTAGATTAGAAATTATATTTGTCGTGCGGTTTCTGGGTAGTGATTGATTTGTAGTTTGGTCGTTCTGGACCTCCTGGTCCGGCTGTCCTCGCTGTTTCTGTCAGATGCATTTCGGCCACACTATACACATTTATACCAGGACGGATTGTTAAAATTTGAAATATAACATTTTGTTCCTTTTCTCTTTTAAAGCAACAATCCAATAGACCTCGACAATACTATATATGGAAAAAAAGCAAGACCGGGTACTGAGACGATCAAGCTCAAATTCTTCCTAGTCTGCAAATTTTCCATAATATGGATGGTTTTGATCTGTTCTTTTATAACGAAACTTTTCAATTAATATTTAACAAAATTTTAGCAGACTGAAGATAACTAAAACTGCAAGGAAAATCGGAAATGACCCAACTAAAAAATAATAATGTTTTAGTAATTACTTATGTTAATTAATTATTCTTTTTTTTAACGTAAGATCTTGGTTGAGATGAAAAAGTTAGTGTCCCAAGCAGGATTCGAATCCAGGACCTGTTATAATTATTCTGTGTTATTATTAATAACCTGTCGTCAAGATAGCTCAGGTGGTTAGAGCAAACCAAAAAATAATAGACTAAACTAAAAAATAATAATCCGTTTATGTTTAGTCGTCTAATTGTCCAAATTATTTATCGTGATTAATTATTCTTTTTTTTTAATGTGAGGTCGTGGTTGAAATGAAAAAAATTAGTGTCACGAGCGGGATTCGAGCGCATGACCTGTTATAATCATTTTGTTTTATTATTAATAGCCTGTTGTTACTGCAGCTCAAGTGGTTAGAGCAAATCAAAAAATAATAGACCAAACTAATAAATAATAATCCATTTATGTTTAGTGGTCTAATTGCCCAAATTATTTATCGTAATTAATTATTCTTTTTTTTTAATGTGAGGTCGTGGTTGAAATGAAAAAAGTTAGTGTCACGAGCGGGATTCGAACCCTTGACCTGTTATAATCATTTTGTTTTATTGTTAACAACCTGTTGTCAAGATAGCTTAAGTGGTTAGAGCAAACGAACAAATTATAGGCCAAACTAAAAAATAATAATCCATTTATGTTTAGTGGCCTAATTGCCCAAATTACTTATTGTAATTAATATTTTCTTTAATGTGAGGTCTTGGTTGAGATGAAAACGTTAGTGTCGCGAGCGGGATTCGAACCCAGGACCTGTTATAATTATTCTGTGTTATTATTAATAACCTGTTGTCACGATAGCTCAAGTGTTTAGAGCAGCGGCGTATTGAGCCGAAGTTCGTGGGTTCGAAACCCGCTCGTGACACTAACTTTTTCATTTCAACCAAGACCTTACATAAAAAAAATTAATCTAAAAAATAACATTACAACAAAATACTAAGTTGTGCCTTTAAATCAGATATTCCAAGCCGAAATGACATGCCTGTCTGACATGTTTTGAATTGCTTCTGCTGAAAGGATAGGGTCAGAATTTGCGAAGTTCGTGATGTGGGTGTATAGGTATGTCAGTACAGACTGTACAGAGTTTGCAATTAAAAATATTGGTAGTCACTTTTAACCTTTTAACTTTTCTTTTTGCTACAATTAATTGGCACTTACCTTATTCAGGTATAAACTCCAATTTACAATAATTGAGCGTCAGCCCTATAAAAATGGAAATTCTGATCGGTTTCTCCTCAGAAATTGGTTGGCTACCAAGTCGTTTCCAATTTGAATTTTTCTCCTGTTTTTCAACTAAGTGCTATTATAAAAATATGTCGTGTTTGGAACTAATAACCAATTTTCTATAGAGCATTGGGATTTTTAATGAAAAGGCAAGAAGTACCTTATTATTTATAACCCCTCTGGACAAGCTAGTTGAAAATAAGTTTTTTTATATTCAAATTTGCAAAATATTAACTGTCATTGAATTATTTAAATTAGGAAGAGGGCTAGATTACGTGTAGGTTGTTGCTAAACAATTTTTGCATAGGCAAAGGCTGGATTTGTCAAAACTACGTCTTCAGAAAAGTAGCATTTTAATTAATTTAATTTTTAATTATATAGAATATTGTTTTCTCAAGTAATTTATTATATTAAAAACCTATTTAAATAATATATTTCATTTTGCGAAAGAGACAGTCGTTTTCGTCGAGATTGCAACCACAATTTCCAGAAGAACGGTCCAAAGCTTCACAGCTAAGACCAGTTCTGAGTAATGGCGTGAAATGAAAATTCACCAGAGCGGAGTTGATGGGAAAATGTAATAAACAGGCTGTCAGAATGGTTGAAAAGCAGGAAAGACCACGGCCGCGAAGGTGCGCGAAAAAGATAGCAGAGGCGGAAGACGAGAACAAGGGAACAGGTTTTTTTTTTATATTTCCCGCTACAGATCTAAATTAATTTCAACTCTTTTTACCGGTTTTCCTTTGTTTTCTGCACCCCATTTTATCATAGTGATCCGTGACTTCTGAAAAATAGGCGTTTAAACGCTTGGAAAATCGTATTAAGCTTTTGTGTTTGAAAAGTTGAATCTTTGGTCTAATTCAAATGAAAAGCCTCATTTTAAGACTTATTAGATTTAAAAAAACAATTTTAATCGTGAACCTTTATATCAAAGAACGTACTTCAGTCGGTTTTCAAAAGAAATTACCTACTTATTTTACAAATAATAATTGTTTTTATGAAAATACAAAAATTGTTTACAATTTTACATTATTAGACGTACAAACTTTTGCTCTTTTCAGGAAAACTCCTACTAGCAGACAAGAACTAAAGTATTTGTATTTAAAACTATGAAGGTAGTTAGTACACTCTAAATGCTTTTATAGCCCCTCTTTTTGAGAATAGTTCATAAAAGTGGAATCAAATTTGATTTCTCTCTGTACTCGTTTTTTTTAATATTTAAGCCGAGTGCAAAGTGGTTTCCCTTATAAACTACACATCTGTTTAATAAATACAATATAAAAACCTTAAAACGTAATATGAAAACTGGAATAAAACATCGACAAGGCTAAAAAAATTTAAAAAACGCAACAACATAGCACACAACAAAGGCTACAGACACAATCGACAAACCAGTAAACAAGAGGAAAAGACTCACTATAGAAAATTATCATACACAGTAACAGATGCCAAGACAGAGAAAAGAACATTGGACGGAAAATCAATAAGATGCAAAGAAATAATAAGGTATATTTAACAACGACAAAAATCAAACTGCGCTATTCATTTCACATAAAATAACCCTAAACAATAAAAAATAAAGATAAAATTGAAATTACTGCTTGATACATTTTTTCTATTTTTTATTTACACCTGCGCCAATTGCTGTACTTAAGTAAATTTGATAATATCTTGAAGCATAAAGCAAAAAATAAATAAAAAATAAAAACAGAAAATATATTAATCTATTATATGTTGAGCTGTTCCAATTAATCAAAGTAATTACTGTAATTATTCTGCAAATTTATGCATTTATTCAAAGTTTCTGAGATGAGGGTTTGCATGACTGGATAATTATTTGTATAACTTCATGTAGCGGGTTTTCTCTACTTCAAGGACATATTAAATATTAAGACCATTGTGGATGGTAAGGTTGGATATATTTATTATTTTGGATATGTTGACAATGGTTTGAAGGGTTTTTAATTGTAGGGATTAGATAAGTTGGAGGTTGGAATGTTTTGTTGAACCTCAAAGTTTGAAGCCTTATGTCCAAATGGGTCTCCAAATAGTTATGTAAATAGTCGGTTTTGATCGTTTATACAACAACTTTTTAGGATATATGAAATGTCTGTCATTTGTCAATGTATAACTCAAGATAGCGGACTACATTAGCTGGTAGGAGGTGGATACTGTTGTGGCAGATGGGAGCAGAGGTTATTCTCTTATTTTTTATTATCCTATCAGTGGTGAATGTGTTATGTTCACAGTTTTCTATGTTTATTGTCATCTTCCACCGCTTGAACAACTGCTCAAGGGATGTGACATGTGCAGATGTCTGGATATTTATGAGAGAAAAGGATGGCGGCATCATGCACATCGTGGTAAGGATCGTTTCAGGAAGCATAGTCATGTCTACGGTATATACTGACGGTGGGTCCTAAAATACTCCTTGTACTGGTAGCACCTCGACCATAGTAAATCTATTTTGCTCCTCTATATTTGTTTTATAACTCATTGGCCAGCGTAAGGTTGTTAGTCAACATCACGCCTTGCCAGCGGTTGTAAGGAACACTAAGGTGCAGGAACTTGCTTGCACCTTTTCTATTGACCCTCACAAAAACATAGATGTGTTCTGCGGTCTCCTCTTCTTCCTGGCAGTATTTGCACACTATCTCTTCTGCCAGGTCTACTATCCAGTGTACATACTATTTTAAGGGCTGTCTTGTCAGGTGCCCAACCAGAATCCTGGTTCTG